ATGGATGATTCTCTGCTTTGTTTTTGCAAAAATATATATACAGCAGGGTAACTACCTCGGTATCTATAATTATAAACGACACTGGACAGATGTTTGAACAACAGCGATACAGAATTACAATGATTTTATTCCAAATTCCATCACTTTCTATAATTTCCTTGTTCGTGCTAGTCTTCAACACTCATTTTTGGTGTGAAAACAATGCAGTAAATGGAAGCCAGTTGAATTCCAATTTCCATGCCGGTGTTGAATTAGCATTTTAGAGGTGTCTTTTCTAAGACTCCGAGTTGATGTTTGGTTGTGCAATGTTTGAAACATCAGGGGCCTTCTGTCAATTGACAATTGAACAACGATTTCATTTTAAGATCTCCAGTAGCTGATAATACTAATGAAATGAATATACAATGTAAGCATCTTCTCCATTTTATATATTAGCCCCATATCAAGCGATGCGATTATAGCCTTGCAATGAGAGTACACGCTCATACCATAGTAGGTTCATGTTTATACATTAGTGTACGGTGTACCTACTTAATGTACTCCTATGATACATAATATGCCATGTCCATTGGAAGACAAGGAATTGACCCCTAGCTGCCACATTCCTAAAGTGTGGTCAGAACAGGAATGTGGCAAGGGTCAAACCCTTGACCCCCGATGGACATGGCATGTGTCTGAACGTCTGAACATTGTATGTGCACTGCTTGGAAATGCCCACACACTCTGCAAATTATTCATTGAACAACTCAATATCAATTGTGAGCATATTGGAGGCAATACTGAAGTAATTGTTTCTTTGTTTATATTTTGTTCTGTGATATAATCATAAAATACAAAATACAGCATGAGTTGACTTTGTTCAGAGTACGATTATGCGAATTTAAATTTGGTTTCGAAGTAAAATTAATAAGGACATTCTGAGACATTTCTACCAAATCATTTTAATCCTTTAATTATGTACTTGCAATTCTGCATGTATTTCAGCGAAAGCAATGTTTATGTAAAAATTATGATTTATGTTTCTCAACATAACTGTTTGTAATAGGTCAATTTGATTCAAATCCGTTAATTCGGCTGACAGACACGGGTTCAGTTACTAAATCACATCTTTTATTTTATAATTTTTAAACTTTGGTAATCATTTCCCTTTTGTGGCAGAAATATATGTTATTCCCATTAGTCTAGAGTTCATCAGAAGGAAACAAAAGTATGATATTGATAACATTGTTGGTGATAGTATTTTTATTTTTCATGATCGAAAACGACATAGGTGTGCATAAGGTAGCTGCTCAGGCACTTTAATAGACGCTTGTTCCAAACATAATACATGTACATGTATATCTGTTAACAGTTTCAGATCAGAGACTGTGCCTCACAGACTAGTTATTTCAAGGCGTGTTTCATTCCCTTGCCCATGTTACCGGAAGGACTCTGTTTCAAACGTTTCGCGGGGTTTTATCAGACTTGGCGCGCCGTATCTTCCCAACATTGTGCTTTAATTTAGCCCATAATATTGCCAAAAGGAAATAATCATGTGGAATATGACTACCGATTTCAATGACTGGCTTATTAGTCCTTTATGTTGGATGCATATTTGGTGCTACAGTATTCCTGGTATCCATTCCTGAAATGATATTAAATGGTGGATTGATGCTGAGAAACATGAGATGAACCACGTACATCATCACTCGAGTGTCATCAGCTGTGCAGGTAAAAAAGTTCTCCCTTTCCATAGACACAGAATATATTGCGATAGTCTCAAGCAAAGTATTTATCGCCAATGCTGTTTTGTATATATACACCCCTGCATCAACCAGACTAGGAGACAATATGTATTTGTGTATATGTCATTAGATATATGTCTCTTTCACCAGATCACTGTACTCATAATAATACCATTCGTGTTATTATCTCTTTGAAGTGACGTTGTTGCGTTATGTTACTCTAACTGTAATAGTATATTTTGAGTGGTTGCCAACTGGCCGTCTAGCCAATTCTATTTTGCAATATAATCAGATTATCCTTTGGTGAGCCTTTTTCATGGCAATCACTGCAAAAATAAATTTCTCGAGCATGGTCTGCAATAATGGAATTACAAACATGTTTATGCTGTGAATTGTGGAACACACGAGGGTTACATTTTCACTCATTCGTATATATTGCAGTTGGAAGGGCGATCGACTATTATCATAAGTCAAAACTCTAATTTAGTATTCCCGAAATGCTTCAAGTTTAAAGGTACTATGTCCCTTTTGCAGCCAACCTCAAATGCTGCATGTGGAACTTTGCGGGAATTATGAATATGTCATGTATGTCCTATCTGTGAAATTTGAACGTTAGCAGTGTCCTCATATTCAAATTATGCAAGGAAATCCGTTTACTTGCTAGACTTCACTGTCAGACACTATTGAGTGACTGACTGGCTTTTTGTCTTCTTTGGTAATAACATGAAAAGTTAAGTGAATTCCCCTTTATATTGTTGAATTTATTTCAATCACAAACTGTACCTTTATTCCAGAATTTGATAAAAAAATAACAAATTTGATTTAACTTAGAATAACTGGTATTACGAAAATGCCAAATAGTAAATAGGAGATGGGAGAACCAGGTTTTTATTTTGAGTGATTAATTTGTTTCTTCAATTGTTTTGTTGTTGTTGAAAGTACCGTTATAAGGAAATTTAACCAACGTAACTTGTTGTTCTTCGATGGATTTTTTGGCACCATATTTAATAAGACCATTCCCACTTATACAAAGTATAGGGGATGGGAAAAGGAGGAATCATGTCTTTATTTAACTTGAATACTGGATTTATTTTCCATTTTTTCCATTCTATTTTTTAGTAAATATTTAACGAAACTGTATCGGTGCGATCGTTCTTCTTTCTTGGAATGTCTGAAACATTATTTCATAGGAAGGTTCATTTCAATTGTGGTAAACAAACTTATTGCTTTGTATTCATTTCAGTGTCAGTTTAGTAGATGTATCATCGGGCCGAGAAGGCAGGTATTATATATTCTATTCTATATAATTATTATATCTAGATCTCCAAAATAAACATACACAATCAATTAACAACTATACCGGTGTAATTTTTTTTGGAATGACAGAAAATTTACTGGAAAATAACCGAGGGATAAGAAATGAGATGTGTCAGTCACAGACCATAAACGTACCACCAACGTTGGTGGTACGTCTATGGTCAGACACGGATAGAAAAGTTCAAATTTACAACCACACGCACTGCATAATCACATTTTACACATACACATTAGCGACGTACTTCAGCAAACAATACTCGACAAAATGTTTTCCCGTTATTTCACTTTTTGTGTGACCATTAATGGATTTCTTTCTTTTTACTGCCTTCATCTTCTATTTCTCCATATGTATATATTTGCTTTTCTGTTTCTTTCTTTCCTTATATATTTTCAATGTTTTTCTTATTTCTCTACCTCTCTTTCCATAATTGTATTATTTCTTTGTTTCGTCCGTTCTTTCTCTATATGTCTTTTCTGATGTATTTCTGAGTTTTCTCTTCTTTCATCTACTCTCTTTCCTAATATATTTCTTTCTTTCTCTTTCTATTCTTTCTGTTGTATTGCCTTGTCATTTGATTCATCTTCTTTTTCTATATTTCCTTATGCATTTATTACATTTTCTTTTCTTTTGAGCTTCTCGTTTATTATTTTCGGTTTGTAAATAATGAGCATGCGATATACGCTGTTGTTCATAAAGTCTTTGATAACACTTATTATTTTCTCAACACTTTGATGATCAATTTCCTCATAATGACAATCAAACCACAATAATCTTTACAAACTTGTTTTTCTTCTTCAATTTCTTCAACCTTGGTCAGTGTAACGAAATTATTCCAACGTTATGGTATTAGTGTATGACTGAAAATACTTTATAACATTTGAAATGAATGCATTCGTATAATTACTGTAAGGTGGTTGGCTTGTTTTATTCTGTACAACGCAAGTAAATGACAATGTTTGGTAAGGTTGTACTCATTTTCCTTAGGTCATAGTAATCGACGTCTTGACATGAGACTATCTTCCCCATGCAGAAAACTGACTTGACGTTGGTCGATTCCTTTCGTTCTAAGTTTGTTTTCACCTTAAATTTTCCATTTTAATCATATTTCAAGCAAGATTAGCAATTTCTTTTACAAAAGTCATACAAACAATCAGAATTTGGTAATATTCACCTCTCAGCCAGCGCGTGACCTTGTCTGTCCATTAGAAGGAATTCGTGGTTTCGAGGCATAGTTGTTTGCCCAGACCCTTAATAGAAACATCACATAGATGCATGCACTACAATATTTATAAACAACCTTAATATGGAAGCAAGCTTAATTAATATCTTTTATTAGTACTTATAGACCGCCGGGTGAACCCTCAAAAGTGCCTTAGTTTTTGTGTTTTGTGACCCATGGTCGGCATCCACTTGAAAATAACCTCTAATGTGTAGAAAAATATACTGAAGATGATGGTGCAACTCGTCAGTAGAAAAAATTGCACACAAATTAATAATGTCCAGATTAATTTTTAATAAATATGACAAACGCCCTCTTGGGTCCATTCTGAGACAGCTGTGTATTATGCTATGTGAAAATGACTTGTATTGATATCGAGCAAAGCTGCAGTGCACTCAAAATATTCCCCTTTCCCTCTTTCCTCATTCCTTCCCCTTCTCTCTCTTTCCTAATCCCCCTCTCTTTCTCTCCTTATCCCCTCTCATCCCCCCACCCATTTTTCCTCATTCCCCCTCTCTCTCTTCGTCTCTTTATTCCTCTTTCCTCACCCCCTCTCTCTCCCTCACTCTTCATCCCATTCCCTCCCTTTCTCTTGTTTCCTTAACCGCTCTCTCTTTCCCATTCCCTCTCCCCCCTCACTCTTTCCCACCTCTCTATCTCTTTCTATGTCATACCCTTCAATATATATTTCAGGGAATGGCATATCTTTAAATAAAATAAATCACAATTTAAAACAAAGTTTGTAAGGCATGTTTGACCAATTATAATCTGGTTTCACATCAAATATATGACATATTACTATCTCACATTCTCAAAATACATGGTCAATAAAATTGTAAGCCTGCTTGACTACATGGATACTGCTCTTTGGGTTGATGTAGAGAAATGATTCATCATCAGTTATACAACACATTGTCAATTCACATTAAAATATTTTCAATAACAAACATTCTTTCAAGCGATCACATGTATGTATGTTTTAGCAAAAATACACATAAAATATACATTATAGATAAAAAAAAAATATATATATTCATGGATGGCAGGGTCGAAGCCTCTGCTATTCTTCTTCAGTTTATCTAAATCATGTTCTTTAACATTTCCAGCAGGTAATTTCATACATTTGTCCAAATGCCATTTAGTAAAAGTTATCTGCTTTATCGAATCTGGCGGAAATTGGCAAAATAGAGCATCGCAATAAAGGTCTTTACATTGAATTTCCAAAAAAGGCTTTACATTTACAAGTAATATTTTCAATAACAAACATTCTTTCAAGCAATTGCTCAAAAAGCATTACAACATGTATGTACCCGTATGTATTAGCAAAAACACACATAAAATATACATTGTAAATAAAATTTAAAAATTCATGGATGACAGGGTCCCAGCCTCTGCTATTCTTCTTCAGTCTAATATATCTAAATCATGTTCTTTAAAATTTTCAGCAGGTAATTTCATACATTTGTCCAAATACCATTTGATACAAGTTATCTGCTCTATCGAATCTGGCGGAAATTGGCAAAAAAGAGCATCACAAGAAAGGTCTTTACATTGAATTTCCTAAAAAAAACTTTACATTTACAAGTAATGTGACATACAATGATTTAAATATTGTTCCTTCTTTGCCTTGATCTCATCTGTGCTCACTTGTTTGTTGTAATGTTGCAGAAGTGCCTGTAGCAGCCCGCATGGTATCCTGGTTGGACATACCTTTATTGAAAATAAATAAAAGCAAGGATCATTTAATATCATTTATTAAAAAAGAAGTATTCATCACTACAAAACCTACAGTATGAGTCGAATCTAGCATATAACTATCATCAAAATACAAATTTTAAAAAATATCTGTGCTAACTGGTTACTGTCTCTAACTGGAAGCGAACGGACTGGACATCAGTGACACTAGCAGTGGAAATTATTCAGAACTGCTTATTAGAAAACGTAAGGAGGTGTCTCATATTTTTATGAAATGTTTTTTGTGTGTAGAGCATGGAGGGCATACGGTACTGTAATACATTTTTCATCATGAATAAAAAAGATCACCAGGGCAAGGGCAAGGCTCATTCTCCAACACAAGTGGCGTATTAATTTAAATGTGTCAAATATTGACGGGGACTGTGGGCCTCACCATGCAGAATTTTTCAAACAAACAACAACAAAAACAACCCCCCCCCCCCAAAAAAAAAAAACCCACCAGTAGTGGCAGTACGCTGTTCTCAGACGATACCGTAATCAATATGTGGACAATAAATACCCACATTAATTATGAAGACCTGATCTGTACTAATGTAGTATACATGTAGAATCAAGCCTGTCCAGTATCCAATTTGACTTGATCAACCACTTTGATCAAGTCAGCTAGGCCTCAATTTCGAGAGCATAGCCTTTTTTTTAGAAAGTAGAAATTACCCGGTAGATATTCTAATCTAGATTCTCTTTTTTCTTGATTCTAGTTGTAACGTTTAGGGCCGGGAAATAGTCATATGACATCTAGAAGTAGAAGTAGTAGAAGTAGAAGTAGACAAAGATCCCGGGTTCGACTCCCACCCAGGCGGATGACCGAGGCCTGCGTTGTGTGTTAACGTGCCCCTTCCCTTTTTAGACGCAGGTTATGTCAAGTGGAAAACACTCCGTCCCTCCGATAGGACATTAAATGGAGGCACGCTAAGAACCCATTGCACTATTCGTATAAGACTAAGACTAAACCCCGGTGTAATAAGTGCAAGAATCTTCACTTCAGTATTATTTGAAGGAGGCAAATTATCTCGAAGAAGAAGAAGAAGAAGAAGAAGAAGAAGAAGAAGAATAGGATCAGAGTTATTCTAAACATGCTGAAATAATTAATACAATCATTTCTTCGGAATGACATAGATCTAGGCCTACCTCTTTTTTGTTGAACTTGTTGCAGTTCGAACACGGCCTCCCTGGTACACTCCTCCGCGGCCGCCCGAGGCGCCGGGCGAGTACTGCTCTGTCTATTAGTACATTTGATATTGATGATGATTTCGAGTTTTTGGTATAACTATTCGTTAGAAAGAGAGAAAGGAAAATCAATATATAGTGCAACGGGTATGAAAACATAATCTAGTCAGTGGTCGGGTCTTCTAAACCACTGCATTCCACCGAGAGTCAAAATTAAGATAGTTTCTCGTCGTGTTGCCTCGAATTATGACCGTAATAAAACTGTCAGACTAAAATAAGACACACGACCTTCGTCATAGGCCCATGTAGTGTACGAACAGTCGAACATTACTCTTAAAATTATCTTCTGTAAAAAATGCCATAAGATAAGAATAAGTCAGTTTGTCCGCGACAAAATGTAGACTGTTTCAAGAAAATTTCGCTGGAATTGAAGACCTTGGCAAGATCATTTTAAGTCATTTTGGCCGGCCAGTTCATAGTGTTTAGAACTTCCCTAAAAAAGGTGGGGCTTGAAAATGTCTTCAAGTGGGAAAATAACGACTATTAGTTGTCAAATCGACTTTAGGGCTATAGAGCCCAAAAGTAATAGTCTTGATTTTCAGACAATTTTACTGAATGGTCATACGTTTTATGCTGCGCAAAGATTAAATCAGTTTAATCTTGGCCATCACAAGAAGTGGGTTATTGACAAATGCTCACGACCCTTTACAACTCTTTTCATGTACAGTGTATGTTATTACCAAAGAAGAAAAAAAGCTAGTCAGTCACTCAATATTGTCTGACAGTGAAGTCTAGCAAGTAAACGGGTTTCATTGCATAATTTGAATATGAGGACACTGCTAACGTTTAAATTTCAGATAGGACATACATGACATATTCATAATTCCTGCAAAGTTCTACAGCATTTGAGGTTGGCTGCAAAAGGGACATACAGCTGTAGTACCTTTAAGATAACTTGATATTTATTTGAAAATCTTAACTGTAAATAGTTTCCAATTTCAATTTTTTTTAACAATGTACTTTGTAGCTATGAACTCATTTTTATTTAGGTGCTTGATACCTACTGATTGTAAGCTTGGTTTTAACTTTAAGCTAATGTACAGCTTTGGTAAACCAACAAAAATATTCTTTTCATTCAAATGAGACTGTATTTCATTAAATTTCCTTTTTGCTACAAAAACTGTACATGAGCTTTAAGTTTTGTATGGTCGGTCCTAAACTAGTATTGGGAATGACTGTATTTTGTGCAATTACATGTAGATATCCATTGTTGAAAATGAATAAAGTTGTTTTATCATTTTGTTTACCTAAAATGAGTACGGTATGTTATACATGTATGTAAAAAGTAAAAACAACAACTAAAGAAATAACAGGCTACTGGCGGTATACCGAGATGATGAGATCCATTTAATCTTAGATCAAATACACTCAAAATCGGTTTTCCTAGAATCATTTTAGCAAGATTTTATGTCTGAGCACTGCCACTAAAACACGCCCATTTGTGATGCCATTGCCATAACCAATATGACATGTTTCATGACTCTCTTCATGTTATGCTAATACTAATAGACTATAGAATCACTCTCTGCCAGTTTCTTGTGCATGAGATTGTGAATTGTATGATTTTCACTATGCTTGGTTCAAAGCGCAATGCAGATAAGGTCTTGTTGGGATTTTCTTGAAAAATGACTGAGTTACGTGGCTAATGAACCCCTGCAGTCTGTAGATGTACTACTAGTCAAAGCATTATTAAATTAGGGCTAGTCTACAGCTCAAATAATCTTTCGAGAACGTTGTTTGAGAAATATACTGATTGAATGCTCTGTATTTTTTGTATTATTATTTTTATCACAACTTCACAAGGCTATCAGTATCTCTGTTTTGCATGAATTGGTAGAATTCAATACACTGTAGTTCAGATACAAAATGTATGTACATCTACAAGCATGTATGTTGCATGCATGAAAATGTTCAATAAAGTGCAGAGTGAATCCGACTGTCATGTCATTCAATGAACAGTCACTTTTGTGATTATTGTAATTAAAGAGAATTACAGAGTGAAAATGAGAAAAACATGGAAGTAGGTCTAGAACATGATGATAATTAATATGATGGACCAAAGGTTGATTTGACGGTACCCGTTTTCAAAAATGTTGTTGTAATTAAATGACCCAACCATGACGCACCATTCCTATTATACTCCTAGGTGCATCTTAAGTGGTTTATGGATAATGTTCATTGTTGTCTACCATGATGACCCAAGTCTTGCAGAAGACATACATGTACGTGTGTACATGGGCCATTCCATGGTAACTCGCGTTACACTTAATGGGTACATTGACACAATAATGTGCCTATATCTTTAGAACTGCTAGGATCTACAAGATACTTTTTTTCAAACATGGACAGGGTAGATATAGAACAACTGAATGAAACAAAACAAAAAATTGAAGAACAAACATTTTTAGATTCTTGGATTATTGAATTTCGGTAACTCGCGTTACAAAATAAGGACATGGTCAATTCTATGAGACCCTCTTTTCTCCTCATACTAGACAATCTTGACAAAATCTTTCCTACTTTAATTTGATTGTAGGTTGTGACTTACTAGTATAAGATAACAATATTAAAGATAAGAAACAATGGACTAGTAAAATGCGGGAAGCAAATATGTCGGTAACTCACGTTACGGTAACTCGCGTTACATTTTGTCCGGAGGCCATTTTCACCCCTATGTAATAGATTAAATATCACAGGACCCCATAGAATATGGAAATATATTCATCTTTTTCCATTTAGCGAAATTTTCAGGAAAAAATATTACAAGAATCCTGTGTAATCTGCAATAAATTGGTTTTTTTCAGCTACAGTCCCACATGTACGTTTTTGATGATGGTTTGAGATCTTAGGAAATCAACAAAAATGAAAAAAAAATTGTATTGAATTTGAAAGGCCCTAATGTTTTATGAACATCCATGGCATAAGGTTAGTGATAAATCAAAGAATTAACATAAGAGGTACATTTCTTTTTTTGATGTCATGTCCTTCTTCTCATGGAATGGCCCACATCAGTGACCCCTTCCCAATTCTACAGGGAGTAAGACAAGGTGGTGTACTGTCACCCCTTCTCTATATTACCTTCATTGACGAACTGATGAAAATCCTCCGCAACAAGGATCTTGGATGCAAGTTGTTAGGCAGATACTCTGGCCTGTGGTACTAGCTGATGACGTAGCCCTGCTGAGCTCGTCACCTTCTGAACTACAGGCAATGCTTGACGTCGTCGATAGCTATACGAAACGATGGAGATACAAGATCAACCCAAGCAAAAGCTGTGTAATTACCTTCAACAACAAAGGGAAAAATATGTCTCAACCTCCGTTGTGGAAGCTTGGACATGACACAGTGCCATCTGTGCTGCAACATCCGCACCTCGGCATCATAAAATCAAGCATAAAGAGGAATTCAGCAGAAGATATAATCTCCAAAGGAGTGCGGACCTTCTATGCACTCACTGGATCAGGAGCATACACAGGAGGACTCCTTCCCCAGCATAGTGTATCCCTTTGGAAAGTATACTGTATCCCGCGAATGCTATATGGATCAGCAGTGGAAAAGATCACCAAAGGGATGTCAGCTAGACTTGACCAGGCCCAACACCAACTGTTCAAGAAAATCCTTGGTCTCCCAAGAACAGCAGCTGATGATGCTATATATCTCCTCTTAGGACTTATGCCGTTAAGCAACCAAGTCGATATTGAGAAGCTTCAGATGATTGGGCAAACATTAGACCTGCCTCATGAAAGATTTGAGTATCGGACATTTCTACATGCCTTGACCAAATCTACCCTCTCCATCAACTCCTGGCAAGCCATCCTAATGAAGTACAGACTCCCAGATCTCCATACCCTCATACAACACCCAATTCCGTACACATTGTGGAAGAAGAAATCCAAGAGGGCAGTGATGGACGTAGTGAATGACAACATCCTACAAGCAATAGAAAAGAAGTCGTCCCTGTCACTATGGAGGAACATGCCCATACCAGACCCAATGCTCCTGTATCCACAGACCAGCAGCTCACAGTTTCTGAGGCAAGCGATCATAATAAGATCACAGTTGGCATGCAACACATACCTAACCCAAACTAGGCTTGTCACCATTAAGAAAGCAACCTCAACCATTTGCCGTCTTTGCCACCAGGAAGATGAGGATAATATCCACTTTGTGGCCTCCTGTAGTATCCTAGCGTCACACCGAAGTGACTTCATCGGAGAAATGCAGAGCAGACACTTTTCTGAAACCACCCTCTCATACTTCAACTTCAATGATGGCTTTGCATTCACAAAAGCTATACTTCTTCCCAACCACCTCATGCTCCCATCAAATCTATATGATAGACTGAACACTCTAATTCTACTCTTCCTCCATAAAATTCACATTGCCCGTACCTCTATCCTTTCCTCTCCCACTTGAATGTTTGTAACTACAATGTCAACAGCTGGAGACGAAAGACACCAACACTGACGCTTGCAGAATACAACAGCAGATCTCCGAGAACAACGGAGGAAGAAGAAGAAGAAGAAGAAGGTTTATTGATACATCCACAGGGCTGTCAACTTTTGGGAACTGCTTCGAGGGAGATCGTTGAGTAAGAAAAGAAAAAAAAAAATCAAAAAAAATCTCAGTGCTAACTAGATCTAGACCTTTTAGAGCAAAAAAAATTGACTTGAGCCTGGCAGCCACTGACTGAGCAGCACCAGGTTGACGTTGCTCTATCCCGTTATTGTTGAACACCAAACGACTCGGGTAGCAGCCTGTCTTTTAACGTCTTTTGGTATGACGCGGCCGGGGTTCGAACCAATATCTCCCGGGAGATTGAGCGAGAGCGGGAGGAATTAGGGCATCCCGCTACGAGCTGGTGGGACGGGGCGGCGGGAGATTGAGATTGAGCGTGGTGGCGTGAGACTCGATCCCTCCAAATGCAGGAGGATTGACAGCCCCCTGCATCCATTACATCATACATGTTGACAACTTGACACACGTACATGGCAT